TTAAAACATATTTAAAATCATATGACCAACAAAACTGGGAAATTAACATTATATCACTGCCTTCTAATTATCACACCCCATTAAAGCTCCACAAATTGTCCCAATAATGTCCTTTATAGCAAGAGAATCTAGCCCCAAATCACGTTACAATTAGCTGCCCTATCTTCTTCAGTGTGCAGTGTTAAACTCTGCCCCCTGCACAGGCTCCCTTCTCATCCACCCCACCTTAACACCCTTACCCAGCCATTGCAGTCCCTCCATTCTACACCCTCTTCACTCTGCTCAGGTTCTAAAACCCCTCCGAGTGCCACCTCTACTGGGATAAGGAGGTTGTAGACAGAGGGGTGTCCTTTCCCCTTACAGACAGTAAAAGGGAGTTTACCTAACATCCAGATAAGAAAGATCCTGCCTTGAACTACTTTTGAGGGCTCTACTCTGGGCCTCCTCTGGCCACAACCTCCCTTTCAAGATCACACTCCAAATAGTGAGAACCCCGGAATTCCTTGCCCAACCTGTCCCAAATCCACTTCCAGGAACTCCAAAGTCCTCCTCCAAGGGTTTGTTCTTCCAAGAGTGGATAATATCACTGGTGTGCACATGCTCAGGCTGTGGAGTTTCCAACAGGTGGCTGTTTGTAATGGGTGAGGACGAAGCTTGGACATGTAGACTGGGGTCCACATACATGAACACAGTGCTCCTTGCAGTGGGGAGTGGAACCAGAGCTGGGAATAGAAGAAGAGCAGGTTGCAGGCTAGTGGTCAGGGAAGTTCTCTCTACATCACGTACTTCCTGACACAGAACTCTGAGAAGCCCAAGAATTCTAAATTTATATTGGTCTCTCGGGTCTTTGTAGAGGTATATTTGCCAAGATAGGACAGTAGAAAATATTTAAATTTGTTATTTATAATTTTTAAAAATGTATGCAAACATGGGCATCCATTTGTATTCTTGGCCCACGCTCCACAAATGCTAGAAGCAGGGCTTATAAAGGGGAAATAATACAATCTAAGAGACCAATTCAAAGCTTACTGCAATAACTCATAGATGAGGTGATGATTTGGACCGGTGTGGTAGTAACAGTAGTGGTGAGAAGTGGTCAGATTCTGCATGTACAGTATTTTGAAAGAAGAATAAAAATGATTTCCTGATGGATTGGTTGTGCAGTATGAGAGAGTAAAGTTAAGGACAACTCTAAAGCTATTGGCTTGGACAATTGAAAGGATAGATCAGCCATTTACTGCGATAAGAATGCCTCAGAGAAGGACAATTAGGAGAGCTATGAGTTTTAAATATGTTAAGTTTGAGATGCCAATTAGACGTCGAAGAGGAAATGTGGAGTGGGAACTTGTATATATAACCTGAAAATCAGAGAATGTAAATTTGGGAATTATCATAATAGCAATGGTTTTTAAAGCTATGAAAATGGGTGAGGTCACCAGGTGACTAAAGGTAGGTAGTAAAAACATCCAATGACTTGTCCCAGGAACACTCCAAGATATAGAAGTTGAGGACATGAAAAGGAAACAGCAAAGACTCTTGAGAAGGAATGGTCAATGAGATAGAGGACTTTACCCTAAAGCCAGAGGGAGAATTTCAAGGAGGCTGGAAAATCAAAGATGCTAATAGATCAAGTAAGATGAGAACTGAGAACGGTTCTGTGTTACTCTGCATTTAGCAATCTGGATGTCATTAATGAACTGGACATAACAATTTCAATAGAGAGTAGATTCAAGAGAAAAGAAAAGGAGTATAAGGCAGCATATAGAAACAATTAAGTTTTGCTCTAAATGAGGAAGTTAAATAGGACCGTAGCTAGAGGGGAAAGTAGAATCAAAACAGGACTAGTTGTTTTGCTTTGTTGTTTTTG